TTGATAGACCTCATTGGCCGGCAAATAGTCCCGATTTAAATCCGTTAGATTATTCAATATGGGATGAATTTGTTCAACAAATGAATTGGGATAAAATCAAATCAAAAACAACTTTAATGGAAGAACTAAAACGTGCAGTTAAGAGAATTAGAATAGAAATTGTTTTAGAAAGTTGTGCTAGTTGGTCCAATGGTTTGTATCGTTTGTCAAAAAACAATGGAGATTATTTACATTAAATAAAATACATGATTTTGTAGAGAATTAAACAGTGAATCATTTAAAAAAAAAATTAACTGTCTAGTATGAAAAATAAAAAAGTTATAGAGAAAATACAAAGTATGCCATTCATTATGCGCCACCCGTTAGTTCATCATTGTTCACTTTGCAAAAATCGTCCATAGATTTGTTGATTAGTCAGAATTGTTTTAAACACTTCTTCCTATAAAGAAAAGTGTTTTCTTCAAAATGAGATGCTGCCGAGCTGTGTGTGATATGAAAAGACTGTCTGTATTAATGTGAACAGTTTTTGTTCTGGTTTTGCATCGAAGAATGAACAGAGAAAACTGTTTTCCGATGCTTTTTAGCCATATCTGTTTCTATTGATTTATTCTGTTGTTACAAAAAAATACGAGACTTAGAATAAGAAAAAATTGACAGGTCGATAAAATAGAGAAACACAGAATGCAATTGAATTATTGATGATTGATGAAATTCGTACAACATTTTGATTATTGACCAAACTCTGATAGAGAAAATTAGATGGACGTTTCTCAACTGACAAAAATCACGTGGTACTTTAAACAATTGACCAAAAGTCGGACACGTCTCTTCTCAGTTGGCAAATTTTTGTCCAACTTTAGTCAATTGACGAAAGACTTGTTGAATTTTCGTCAGTGACGAAAGTGTAAGTTACCAAAGTCTCGGTGACTTTTATCAAGTAACTCCACACGATGATTAAATCAAATGAAACAAAAAAGAGTTGCGAAAGAAAGAACGAAACCCGATTATATTTGCAAGTATTTTCATATAAGCTACACGTTGCCACGATTATAACGAAATATAGAAACCTGTTTATTTTTCTTTTTGTTCGTCAATTTTCACGATTATAACGCATAATATAATAAATGAAAGAGGTGAAAAAATTTTGAAAATTAAAATTTTTAACGATTGTCTTATTGATAATCTGATTTTGGTGGTCTAGATGTATTATGTAAATCATAATCTTGATTTAATTTTTGACCTGATTCATAATCTTTCATTGGTAAACCACTTTTTTCATCTATATTATAATCTGACAATGGTATAGCAAAATTTTCCTTATCGCTATAAATAAACTGTAGATATTCAGGTTCTGGTGAACCTGGACCTTCAGCTATTTCTGGAAATAATCCACAAAATAAATTTCCAATTGTTGTTCCAATAAAACCAAAAATAATACCACCTAGCATACCGCCAACTATAGTTCCAATACCAGGGATAAGGCTACCGATAGCAGCTCCAATAGCTGCTCCTACCGTTGAACCGATTGCATTGCACAAAGTTACAGTTGTTGATTTTCCAAATTGATTTTTGTCTTCAGTAATTGATAGTGTGATAGTAATACCATCAATTATAATTGATAGAGTCGACATTCCACATTTTAATTTATTATTCGATAAATAACGCAAAAATCTATTTTTTACTGTTGAATTTTTTGGATCAAGAATTTTAATAGATTTTATATTTTTATTGAAGTTGTCCACATGTTCAGAATTCCAAGATTTTTTTTCACATTTTTTAGAATCAGCTAGAGATCGAAATTGGCCAGATTTAATACCTTCAAAATGATATATACTCTTTGCCAATTTTTTAGATTGAAACTGAGGTACAAGTTCCTTTCTGAATCTTTCATAAAATTTTTTATCCACAGTCATTTTTAATATTTTTTCTTGAACATCACCAGGGCACATTTTTATTTTGAAATTTTAATACTTTACTTAAACTCTCTGAAATCCATTTGTGTTTGTGTTCCACTTGATTAATCAAAGCATTTTTTGTAATAGATGCTTTCGCTTCATCTTCACACATTTTTCGAAAGAGAGAAACATTATCTGATACATTAAAAGCTTCTCCAAAAAACACTCCGTTTGGTGGACTTTGACAAAAATCTTGTACACCTACTTTAACAGCTTCTGTACCTTTTGTTTCTGGAATATTTCTCATATGTATTGCGATATCACTATTATCGGTAGTAACAATATAATGATTTGTATACATTGTTAACATCAATTCATAAATATAAATATTTTCACTTTGAAGTTCAAATAAAAAATTAATTTTCTTCTAAAAAAATAAATCAAATTGAGAAATATATTTTTTAAAAAATTCTTACTCATTTTAATTTATTTAAAAACAAAAACAAGCCTATGTAACATATTCTATATACAAAACAGTATAAGGGACTCCCAACAAGTATTGTTTCATAAATTCTGAAGTAACTGTTCAGCGGATTTCGGCGTCATCTGAGTGCTGGAGGATTTTCGAGGGCTGAGTGAATATCCAATTTGGGAATATCCTAATGATCAAAAAAAAGGACCGTTACCTCAATACCTTCTTTAGCCTTTATGACTTTTATCACTTTTGTGCTTTTCTGGCTCACTCTCACACGGGCTCCCTCCTTCACACATACTCCTCGAAAAATGTTCATAGTGACCTAGACGAAAGTCATCTGCAATATACACACTTCTAACGGATATCCCTGTTCGGATAATCGTCCACATCTAGGTTTTTCGATCTGACGCATCTACTCACTGAAAAAAAATAATCAGAATTCATGCAGGATCTCGCCGGTCGTCGATATTAAAATATCTGGGAATGTTTCTTACCTGTACGCAGAATAAAAACTTTTATCGTGTCCGATAACCTTCTAGAAAATGTATACCTTAATATTTTGACTTTAACACGCATTTTCGTGTGTACAAACCAACTATTAATAGATAGCTGAAAAGATCTTTTTTATGTCAGGAATATTCTATTTTCTTCCATCAATAAGAAATTCAAGTCATTAGAATGATTCCACTACTGTGAAAAAAGTTGTATAGCAAAGCAGAGTAGAGTCCTGCAGGTTAAACCTAACCCAACCTAACCTAAGCTATGGGTTAGGTTTAGGTTGTGAAATTTTTATAGGTTAGGTTGTAGGTTACGCCATTGATAACCTATTTTTAACCTAAACGAAAAAGCCGATTTTGAATGACCACATTAAAATAGGCAACACTTTGAGTAATAAAGCGTAGTCCCAGTGGAATTGTATCGATTGAGAATGATGTTCAGACTGAGGTTCTCTAATCTAAACTGAAAAATAGCACAATCAAAAAAGGAAGTACAGAGAAAAAACTTCCGTTTGCTAAAAATAGATGGCAAATACACAACAATAACAGAACCTTCGTAGTTGGCCAAATGTTACGGAATTTCATTTTTTCCTCTTCTGTGCCTCTTATCCCGGCAAAGAAACAACGTTTATCAATGAAATTTATACCAATGACGGATATTAGGCAATTCTACTACCAAAAGTAATTTGAGCTTGGTTGAACAAGCGGATCAAAAGTTATAGTCAAAATACAGAACGTTACGAAATTTCAAAAAATGGATGTGTTTTCGGGGTATTCCAGTAAAATGTAAATTATTCAACCCTGAGTTAATTTTAGAATGATTGCTTAATTGCCAAATTAAAGCTCACAGCCTGAGCTATCAGAATCACTACTGATCTTTTCTTGAATTAGTTCCCTGGCGGAGGAAACCAAATAAAAGTGACCATTACGGGAATTTCATTTCGTTACAGAATTTCACCGCTTTTTGCTCTTCTTTGCAGATGGTTTGGTATATATTTTTTCTGTCGCAGAACTACTTAGCAAGCTCTGATTTGCACATAGATAGATTGTTTGAGGTGCCCTTCTTCCGATGCAGCCCAAAATAAAGGACGGGGGCTTATAAGGGTCAAAAATTTCCCTTGATATTTCTGAACAAGAGTTATATATTCAGAATCAGCGTGAAATTCTGCGTCGAATGAGATATATGGCACCTTGGAAAAATCATTTTCAATTTTTCGGAAAATTTGTACCAGTTTTTCTTCTTTGCTACATGTTCATTCAACATTATTTGCGATAAATCACAGTAAAATCACAAATCAGGAAGATAAGCATCAGAAAAAGAGTTTAGACAAATGGAGTCCACCAAAAGTAGAAAAAAAATAAACATTTATAACAACAAGAACAAGTAAAATGGCACTTCCGCTCTTCACCATCACACTGACTACTTTTTTAAGGGAATGGGTGTGTGGAGAGGAGAAAGAAAAAAAAGTGTTAGAAAGACATAGCAGCGTCAAAAACAAACAAAAAACTGTTTATCTCAAAAAAATTACTTTTTCTTCACTTATCTCACCTCGAAAACGAGCTGAAAAGCTCTTTTGCTTTCGCCTCGCTCAGTTAATTATGTACAACTTCAACTAATCTAATGAGTGTTCTAACTGACAGTCTCGAGTCCATTTACACGATCATTTACGTATGCCAATCATCTTCTAAGGTACTTGAACTGTCACTATCATTCTGTTCTTCTCCTGCTTCTTGTTGGCTGTCAGAATCAATTGCTTCTTCATCTTGATTAATGTTGTTATTTTCATCAAGAATAATTATTTGTTGTGGATTATTGGCTTGTTCATCTTGATCATTTTCCTGCTCATCATCATCATTTGTTAGTGTTGATTGTCGATGCTTCAGACATTTGTTAGCAACAACGTCTCTCTTTAACTGTACCAATGACGTTCTTTTACTGCCAGTGTTTGGATTTATTCCGAATAAATACCACACGTGTTCATCTCTGGAGTACGGAATAAATCCAAACACTGGCAGTAAAAGCAGACGCTTTATGTTCTTTTTTTAATAATGCGTCAGGAAAACAAATCGCGAAAAGCAAGAAATTTTACTTAACGGTTTCTTTCTGGAAGTAGTTCCAAAAAATCGTGACAGATTTTCAAAAATTCTTATTATATGAACCACGGCGGATCATTAGCACATGTTTTTATTATTTTGTGAGGTATACAGGTCTCCGCAGTTTGCTCTATACCTGATAATAAAATTAAACATTTATTTTGGACATCAGCATTAAAAAAGGAAGTGGCAAATTCATTGAGTTTCCTAGCAAGACAAAAACGATACTGATCCCAACTAACAGCGCTATAGTTCGAAATTTTACGAAAATTATCTGATGAAGGTTGGACTCTATCTTCTAGCTGACCTTTTGTTTCCTTAACAAGATTATGACTGTTTGGAATCACTAAATCTAAACACGTTCTTGAAGCGAGTCGAGTTGGCTCACGTACTAGTTGAAAAAACCCTAAATTTTGTACAAAAGAAAAAAATTTATTACCTTTGGCTGTAGAGGGTTTCTCAATGCACCATTTTGAGCAGTGCGCATTAAAATCACCTAATAGTAGGACACCAGAAAGAGATGGCAGAGAAATGATAGTAGATATAAAATTAGATAAAAATTCCATATGTTTCAAATACATCTAGATTGAACTATGTTCTACATGTTAAAGTAACCAAAATATTCCCAGTAGCAGGTAAGGTAGCAACGAAAAACATAGTTTCAAAATTAGAGTTATCAAAATCGTTTAACCTTTTAACCAACACATCATTGCGAAAGTAAATTAAACAGCCACCATTTCTCATTTCTCTATCTAAGCGATATGATGTATGGTTTAGTATAGATATATCATTTTCATTCCTATGTTTATCAAGCCATTTATCGAGAGCCATTATCAATCCATTATCAAGACATTTTTTGTGATACAAACGCGTCTAAAAGCCATTGCATCTAAGGCATGGCCTATTACACTGGAGCAGTATTCACTCGATGTTTTCAAAACTTTTTCAAAGAGGACTCTTTTAGACCAAAACTTCTGACGAATTTTGGCAAAGGCGCAAGTCAAAAGTTGTATCGTTGCTAAGGAATTAAAGTTTTGCGAAGAGTCCCGAAAAACGTGAATTCTGCCACCTTGAAAAGTTCCCAAATTTAAACTCTTGTAACTCAGTAATGACAGACTGCTTAATCTCGGCGATTTTACCATAAATCTTAGATAGTATCTACTACAAAACCACCCAACCTCAAGCTCACAACATGTTTTCGTTATTTTGTAATAGATGGCGCACTAAGGTTCCAAATTCAGAAGACGTTGAATTTTTCTGAAGCACTCATTTAAAACGAAGTCGACCGTGAGGTTGTCAACTATATTTCCAAATAGATTATGTGCCAAAGCCTATTTGGTAGCAGTCTGACAGTCTCAACTTTCATTTCCAATGCAGAAGATTTGAAAATTGCCCAAAAATGATTGTTTTGGGTGATTTCGAGGAATGCTTTTCTCCTTGGAAACGGGGCTATTCTGCAGTACTCTAGTAACACAGCGTGTACTAGATGTAGTACCATAGTCCATTCTACGATTTGTGGGTTTCGCTAAAATGGCTTCTGGATTCGGTTGGAAGCACCGAGTTCTAGAGGCTTGTTTCAATCAGCGTGATTCTGCTATAGTATATTAAAAATTCATAAAACCAGTTCAATATCCAACTTTTTACGAGGAATTCCGTCGTAATATGAGAACAAGTTGAGGACCCAAATTCAACCATATTTCCGAATAGATTATGTGTCAAAGCATATTTGGTAAAAGTATGGCGGTCTCAACTTTCGTTTTCAATACAGAGGCTTTGAAAATTGCTCAAAAATGATCGTTTTGGACGATTTTGAGGAATCCATGTTTTTCGTGACTTTCCGCAAAATTTCAATATCTTAGCAACGATACAACTTTTTTGACGCGCATTTCACATCGGTCATGGCCCAACCTTTAACGTTCAGCGGATTTAGACGCGTCTATTTTTGAAAGATGGTTTTATAGGCACATCATCCTAATTAGGTATGCACCAGTTTCAGTTAAAACGCAGTTAACTGCAACTGTAGATCTGTAAAACTGTATAGGTAATCGAACATGCTGAGTCTTGTAGCAATATTTTGCTTTTAGAAAAAGTTCTAAAAGTCTACTGAAAAGCGAGTTTTAAGAAAATTTGGGTTTTCAAGCTGTTTCAACTATTTCAACTAGGCTATAATTACAATAGTCGGAATTCTTTGTACAATCTTTAATTGCGGTTCTTGTTTATTATTTTAATTCTACCTGAAACCGAGTGTGTTTACTTACGTATTCACCTATTCATTTTAGAAATGTTTAAATCAAAATATTATTTTTTACTTTACGGTTTTAAAGTGCGTCTGACTTGTTAAGGTAGAAGAAAAGAAAAACAACAGAAGTATAATCATGTGTAGATATTTCCTAAAATATATAAAACCTATTAATTTAAAATTCGTTTCCGAACTGAACATTAGGAGTACATACCGACAAGGATGCGATTTTTACCACGAAGTTGACGTGCAGATATTTCAGTGTTAACATTATGATCTCCTTGCCAGTAATTCGTACAAGAAAGAGCACCGATGCATTCTCTTCCGGTTCCTGTTTTAAAATTATTTGATATTTTCGGGTGCAGATGCTAATACCGCACA